GCCCGGCCGTCGGTGATTAATGCCGTACCTGCCGGCAGCCTTGGCAGCAGCACCCGCAGCCCTGGGGTTTTGGGGGCAGCGCTGGCCCCCCGGGGTTTTGGGGTGGTGGGAGCTGGGGCTGGTCCAGCCCCGCGTTGGAGCCGTGGGGTTTGGCTGATGTGAAGCTGGCCGGAGGCTCGTGTTTTGGATCTGCTCTCCGGTGCGTTCTGTTTTCGGGGCTGTTTTCGCTCCCACTGAGGTGATGGCATCGCTCCTGCTGATTTCACGAGGACGGGCCGGGGCTGTGTAAGCCGCGCTGCTGCGGCCAGGGATAACACTGCGTGATTTATGGGAGCAATCAGTTGCCACTAGGAGCTGGTTAGGAATTTTCCGATGAAACGGGGATTGCGTCAGAAACCGCTGAGTCATCTCAACTGTTTCATAAAAAAAAAACCAAACCACCAACTTTTGGCTTTGATGAACTTTTGGTGCAGCACAGAGACCAAATGCGTCTCACCGGCTGCGGCTCCCCCAGCGCTTGCCTCAGGGACAGCCTCCCCCCTCCCAGTCCTCCCCAGCCCTTGGGGTATCCCTGCGGCAGGATGGGCTGTGGGGTCACCCGGGGATGGGGTCTCCTGGGGTGCAACCTCCTCCCAAGCCCCATGGCTGGGGGGAGCACTGGGGGGACACTGGGGCTCACACTGACCCAGGCTGCTCTGGCGTTGTCAATGTGAAATATTTTGATGCTTTTAAAACCTCTTGTGTTCAGACTTTTCCCTCCTGGTTGTTCCAAAACGGAAAGGGTTTTCTCCTGCGTGTCTCGGGCTGGGATATTTTGAAATGCAGAAGTTGGGTGAACTCAAGTCCTAAATTTTCCCAGTGTCCTGGTCACAGCCAACCGATGGAAAATTGAAAGTTGCAAATCAACCTAGCTGGGTAAATTAAAACAGGCTGGCAGACATTTAGCCAAACAGAAAAGGAGACTTCATTTCCCATGTAAATTTTTTGGGACGGATTCTCTGCTCAGCTTCACACAGCCATCCCTGGGAGGACTGGGTCCAAATTAACACCACCACGGACTCGCCACAATTCCGGCAGGGTGCTGGGAGCTGTGCAGGGATCTGTGCCCCACGGCGGGGTGGGAGCACACCCCAAGGTGCTGCAGGAGGGAGAGCTCCTGGCCCATGGCAAACGGTGACGGGGCCAAACGTGGGCCAGGAGCAGCCAGGGCAAACTGCAGTGATGGCCCTGGGTGCAGAGCCAGTGCCGGGTGCGGTGCCCTGCTGGGAGCACTGGTTTTGCCCCGTGCAGGGCAGGTCTAGAGGGGAAGGAGAAAAGGCTTGAGCTGAGGCACCTCTGGTGCGATGAAGGAAATCGTTCCGGTGGGCAGCTCAAAGCCGCTGGGGTGTCACCACCGTGCAGGGGGGATGCACAGGAACGGGTGTCACCACGCAGGTGTCGCATGGAGCACATTTTGCGTGTGAAGACTGCGGAGAACGGACCACACGAGTCGTATCTGGGTGACGTACATTGTACACTCGTGTCCTTCTTCACGCCACAGGCTTTCCTCTCTGCCACACACGGAGATCAGACAGGACACGCTCACGGCTGTCACCGAGCCGGGGCCACTGCTCTCATCCAGAATGGCTCTTCCCTCCCACCAAACCCATTTTCTGACCAGCACCACCGCCGCCGCCGTTCTCCTGCGTGGCAGAAAAACCCTTTGCAGCAGCACGACTGATGCCGAGCCTTAGCAAACGACACCAGAAACACAGGGTCACGGGGATTTAGTTTATTTTCCAGTCAAAAGTGCAATTAAAAACCTAGCAGAGCGTATCCATCCACCCCCCCAACCCCCCCCCGCACTT